CTCGTCAATTGAAGAGGTCGAACGACCTCTTGCCGCAATAGAAGAGAGAGGGGAGCAAGTGGGGTCCACTAGGGCCATAATCACACACTCAAGGAGGAGGAATTAAAGGAGTTTGGAGGGAATGTTTGTAAGAAAAGTTTTTAAATGATATGGAATGATTCTATTGAGGAGAGGAACCTAGGATTTGGTTTTTTTAATGCATTATTTTTTGGCTGTTGTATTTTTCTTCTTTTGGTGTTGTTCGTAGAAAAGTCTAGGGTGTGGGAGAGCCGATCTACCTCTAGAAAGTAAATAACCTTTTTATCTTGCTTGTTTTTTCTTTGATTGTTGTAAGAGCATCTCTTATTTGTGTTTTTCCACCCATCTATTGCAATTTCGTTGTGGTTTGTTCGTTGATTTTGGTGTTGAAGCATACCAAACACTTGAAGGACTACTTTCATTTCAATCATCATTAAGATTTAAAATGCTCTTTGATATTAAATTTCATTTTTTTAGCATAAAATAAAAGCAACGATGTTAAGTCATAGAGAAAATAATATCAATCCACAACAGCATAATGACAGTATTCAATACTTAGGCCGGCTCTGTTGGCCGCTGTGGCGGCTTCTCGGCTTTTCAGCTGCAGCTGCACTGCCCCAGAAAGTTGCTATGGGGAAGTAGCTGCGAGGAAGCTGACTGTTTGTTTGGTGTAGCTGTGTGAAACCAGCTGTCGGGCAGCTGTTTATGATAAAAAGACCATACTGCCTCTGTCTGATAAAACTGTTTAAAAGAAGAGTATAACAATCATTTTTTTTTAACTTTAGTAAGCCCCCAAAGTGCTCCCCAAATTAACTTTAGTAAGCCCCCAAAGTGCTAACAACTTCTGTTTATGAATAAGAACACATATGCAACACAATCTTATGTATTTACATATCAAACACGTAAACTTTGAAGTTTTACGAATATTTGCATATTATTTTGGAGGTCTTACAAAAGAATTGAATCGCATAAATATAATGAACTTAAATGTAGTGTTTGATATGTAAATATTTGAAATTAATTATGGTTTATATACATATCACACAATTCTTATATATACAACACACTAATGTACTCATTGAGTGGTAATAAGAATAAACTGAATTTTGTATTACTTCCTATTGTCATTACTGAATTCCTGTATCTTAACTACATGATGAAGGTTTAACATTAGTATATATACACATCCTCATCAATCATGTAGGCCACAAAGGTCTGCAAAAAGATAGTCTGCATATATAAGAGCAGCTGAAGTTTCAGAGTTTTAAATATGTAAATAAGGTCTGCATAGAGATGGCCAATTTAAAGTGCTAAATATGTAATTATAAAAAAAAAACCTGAACCAACTTATTCACTGGTTCTTATTTCTTGAATAAATATATCCAATTTATTGCAGTAGAAAAAAGAAAGCTCCATAGATTAAAGATGATATCATGAAATAGGGAACCTGGAAGGAACAAAAACCCACGAAAAATCCTTTACCTATATCAGTTAAAGCAAATATCAAAGGATTTGGGTTTGCATTGTGTTAATAGTACTCACTATAATTGTCCAGTGCAAAGAGTTCGAATGCCTTTAATCTTTAGAAATTGTAGATGTTAGATTTGTAAATCAATAAGAATTCTGTGATATGGATGTAATTTCCACTGAAACAGAATATATCAATATGATCCAGCAGAACAACAACATGATTCAAAGCCAAGTTACAGGACAACAGTACTGACAAACATAATTTTGGTGACATTAATGATATGAGCCAAAGATACAACACATCAGCTACAGATAAATAATTCTACGCGAGCATTAAAAACTTAGAGCACATCAGCGTGACCATGCCACTATAATTGTCCAGTATTTTAAGCCGTTAAAACTTTCAAGTTTTCGCAAACGAATACATCAAAACTTTCAAATTTTCACAAACAATTATATACAAATTTTATGTTTTCATAAACCAAAGCAACAGACATTTCAGATTTTTCAAAATGAGGCTTTCCAAACTTTCACAAGCTGCAATTATTTCCAAATTTCTCAAATCAAAACGCATAACTTTCAGTTATTTGCCAAAACAAAGACATTGAAACTTTACATTTCTATAAATAAAGCTAAAGATCATTTCAATTTTTTTTTTAAAATTGAAACCATCATGATGAAACCTAAGCAAGCAATTGGATTCAGCATAGACTCATTTCATGTCATATATCATTCAAGACAATAGAAAACTCCTGATCGAATTTCTTCAATGACTTCCCTATCCAACATTTGAAAATTTCCCTATCGAACTGAATTCAGCAAACACCCCAAGAAAAATGAATTGCCCATTTGAATTGTATGTAAAGCTTCTCATGCATGAGTGTAAGGATGCATATGTAAAGAAATTAAAGCTCAGGGTTGTAGATATGTAAACACTAAATTCTAACATATACATACATAGCTCTCAGGCCAGATTGATAACAACAAACATCAATAAGCAGAAAATATGTTCTAATTCCTGATAATCAGCATCATCAACTAAGAATGAGTCAAGCAACCCTCCAATTACAGGAGAAGACAACATAGAACTTGCGCATCTCCAATGCACTCCAATATATGATTATACATCGTGCAAGGTCTTGAAGCAGCGCAAGGTCTTGATGCAGCAATTAAAATATAGCTATGTTATATAAAGCCTTCAAACAAGATGCCTACTCAAAATATATCCAAGAATCTTAAAATTATTCTTCCTAACTAATATTTATCTAACGGAATAGATAAATATGAAATTAAAAAAAAAATCATAGTAGCAATATTTTGAATAATATTCACCTAATAAATTCTCAAATTCTCCATTCATAGGTCTACTATCTCATCGGTTATTCGTTCCCTCAGCTCTGCCATCTCGCTTGCACCTTCCCCATCAACAGTAAAGTCGGTGGAAGTCTCAGTCTCTTTTTCTGTGAAAGACTGACCTATACGGTATTCAAAGGCTTCTGCAGACACATTTTCTTCATCCTCTTCTGCTAAAAGAAAGTCGATATCGCTACGGGAATGATTTCTTATGTAATTATGGAAAGTCATCGCAAAATGAAAAAATTAAAATAAAATATAAAGTAACAAAATGAAGAAGTTTACAAACAAAGCTCATCGCAAGTCTTTCAGCCCACCATTCCTCAGGTGCATCAACTGTTCGCTTCACTGGATCCCAACAAAGACCGGTAGAACCCCTTTTCAATTTCTTCCAAATTTTTCATTCTTTCTTCATTTGGTCCCGCTTGTTCTTCATTTGCAACCTGTCATAGTCTCTGCCTATACATTCCTTAAAATTTTTTATAATATTTTGTCACCCTTCTTTATTGAAATGGGTCGTTGGCCTATTTCCCCGTTCAGTCTCTTTAAGACAAAGATTGCAAAATATAATTTTCATATCATTTTCTCACAATGCGGGTGTAGCAACTTCTTTAGGCTTACAATTCATGTTATCACTATAACAAAATAAAGTCATGAAACACAACAGTAAAATCAATTAGAAAGTAGAATAAAGTAAAGTTTAGGTGTTAGATATTTAGGGAATACGATAGGTATTAAATAATTCTTTACATAATAAATAATACTTTACATATAATGAGAATATCTCATTGCAGAACTTCAGATGAGTTTACCATGTCCAATTTTTTTCTCTTTATATACACTAAATTAAACGTAACATGTATCTGCATAAGCCAACGTAATAGAAATAGAGATAGATTCCATAACATCAAAGTAACTTTCACATTGTAGAAAGAGGCTGTAAACTATTTGAAACCATCAACTAGCCACACAAGACGATCCAAACTAAACTTGTAAGGACTCGAAAAATTCAGTATGGGAAATAATCTAGCCTGGGAGAGTAGATTTGTTGAGCAACAAGTGTAATACAGCAATCTCACCATTTTGAGATGACAAAAGGATTTCTGATCACAAGATGAAAGTGAATCTAATAAACTATGTCCAACGCTCAAAACTTGCTCAATAATTACTCAACATTTAATTAAATAGAAATCAAAATTGATTGGCTTCAACTCTAAGAAAGTTTTCTCAAAATTCATTCGATGACAAAAGGATTTCTGATCAGTCGATGAAAGTGAATATATTAAACTATGTCCAACACTCAAAACTTGCTCAATAATTACTCAAATTTTAATCAAATAAAATAAAAAATTGCTTGGCTTCAACTCAAAGAAAGCTTCCACAAAATTCATTCAATTTAACTCAAAATTGAGTCTATATAATCAACAACAAAAACAATTTGTCGACTGATTAGACTAGTTCTGTTGGAATAAAAGAGAAACTAATGAAGACTTGAAGAGCAAAGAATAAGTGATTCAGGAAAATTTAGAACATAGGATTCCTGAAGCTCCAAAAGCTGCAACTAACGGCTAATCTATAACTACAGAATAATATCAACAACAACAACTCGTAGCCTGAATTATCCAAATAAGCCAAACTAGAGTGGAAGCAAACCATGAACATAATACAAGAGAAAAAATTGCGTTCTCATAAGCACATTATAACAAGTATGATCCAAATTAACTGAAATTAAAATTATAAAATACAAAAAAAGAAAAAAACCTAATAAACGCGGCTAATTTAACTTGTCCAAATCATTCATTTGCTCACAACTTCCAATGAGTAAACCTCATAAATCTCCTTCACAACTAACCAGCTTAAAGTTTGGCTCTAATGAAAATAGTATTTGACATTCATCGAGTAGATTAAGACATAAATTTTACATCTACTGAAAGCAACCTAAGAATCATCACAAACACGTTTGTCGTGCAAGTGTATAAAATATCTCTAAAATCCGCCATCAATAGTAAACACTAACCAATATAACATCAGGAGCACTTGGACAATTAGATATGATGTAGGATGCAAATTCACTATGGGGGAAGAGAGAGAAATAAAACATTCTTCCTTTAACTTAGCTACATATGCCGAACAACTACTAAGAAGATGGGATTACCTGCCTCGTTGGTCCTGGTCGAGGAAAAAGAACGGACGTGGCGACACCAGTCGAGGCGAGATGCAGGAATCGATTTCTGGTCGAGGAAGAAGAACGAAAATAAGGGGAGAAGAGCGGGGAAGAAGAACGGGCGCTGCGTGGTCGAGGAAGAAGAGCGGGGAAGAAGAACGCAGAGAAGAAGAACCTGGTCGGGGAAGATGAGCGGGGAAGAAGAACGGTTGGCGAGTCGCGGGATTCGGAGGAAGAAGAACGCGATACCGCTTTAGCTGCCGCGACGCTAAGAGCCAAACAATTTTTTTTCGCGATTCGGGGCCGCGAAGCCGCAAAAAAGCGGCCCCAAACGGACAATCTCAAAATTTGGCAATGGTAGCTTGTTAAAATCCACAGACAGTTCATAAGATCAAACAAAATATCATAAAAATTAAAATTTGAAGCTTTTAACCGTACAATTTAAGTTTCTAATTTAAAATCCCTTTGGTTTTCAACTATACAATCACTCAAAATCTTTTTTTTATTATTTTTTATTTGAATCATGTTAAACTAAAGGACTTCCAGAATTCTCATGCACTTTTGTTTCAACTTTGTTTCTTCTTCTTTATAAAATGAAGCTACATTTTCATAGTTGGGATTACTCCAAGTCAGTACGATGGGCTTCCTATCTTATTATAATGAAAAGGGTTAATAAGTTAGGTACTAAAATACAGAATTCTGAGTACTGAATGTTAAACTTCTAAGATAATTTTTTATATATGCTTTCAAGTGAAGTTTAAAAAACCTTCTGCAGAAGATCCAACCTAAGATAATGTCCTGAAAATGCCTTAGCAAACCTCAACATCGTAATCAATATTCTCATTTGGGAAATAAAGGGACATTTACATACCACCTAACTCCTATGCATTTAGATATCTAACACCTAAACTTTCTTTTTCTAAATCTTTCACATCACGTCAAAAATATACCTTCTCATGCATAGATAAGTCGCATCTATGTTAAAAATTGAACTTTTGAAGTAAGGAATGTACATACATAAGAATTCAGTGGTAAAAACATTCAATAAAGAACTACAACCCAACAAAAAATAATGACTCGGACATTGATTTATTTAATTGAATCACAACAGATAAAAAAGTTAATTGACTGAACATTACATGTGATTACATCACAAAGGTTCTAAAACCAAAATATAAACTAAGAACACATACGATTAGAAAAGTGAGACATTCAGTTTTCTTACCTTCCAACTCTGCTTGATTCAGACCAGAAGATGGCATAGATCCACTGTATTCTCTTAACACAAGCAGCAAGCTGCCTCAAGAAGTGATTTTGCTGCAGCTCTTGGCTCTGCATCTCCATCACCATTGCTCTGAATAATTTATCAACAAAAGTTTATTTCTGGTTCTTTTTATACTGCTGTTGATGTAACTTTTTAAAAAGAAACTAATATCAACCACAAAATATATAGACTCTGACAATTAAAAAAAAACTGGGCAAAATATTGCATAATATACCCTGACGTGCAAGCAGATGATAATGGATTTAAATTTAAAACATATATCTGTAAATGAGAATTTCTAGAATATTTTATAAGAAATTAAAAGATATTTTGGCATTTATGAAAGACATTATTTCTTTTTTCTCATTTTAGAAAGAGGAGGGTGTAATTTCATTAATTACAGAGATTAAACATATTACAAATGGGTGAAAAATAAACAAAAAAAGGGGAGGTTTTACACACCACCCAATCAAAACATTAACTATAATAATTTAACCACACAAACTTTAAATATAACATTTTAACCATGGAAAACTTTAAATTTAACATTTTGGACCACCCAAAACTTTCACTCAAAACATTCACTAGTGAGTAATGGAGAGTGATTGTAATGAAAAGGTGGTTGGTAAGTTGTAGAAATAGATTGAACTCAGGCTCACTCATACAAACTCGATCCAACTGCAATAAAACTAAAACTCAAACAAAGTTCAATCTACTTTTCAATCAGGACCTCCCAAAAATTTTTTTTTCTCAACAGCAAGATGTCAAATCTCTCATTATTATCAATAAATTTTAATCAATTTAACCGAGACAGAACGTCGCCATCTCCACGCCTCCAACCTGGAATCAGAGGAAAAAGATGGAGATGTTCCACGACATAATTCAGGAGAGAGCCAAAAAGTGGCTGTCGCCCAACCCAATATAAGAAACCAAAGCAGACAAACACTAATTCTCTACTTAAATTCAAAATAAATTTCAACTTTACAGAAACAAACAATGGAATCAAAGCAAACTAGGTTTTGGTACCATGAAGCACCGTAAACACAAAATCGTAGTTAAAAAACAAAAAGAAAAGACAAAATCATTTACCTTACTTCTTAATTGAAGTCAGAAGAGTTCTTCGATCTACCGGGAGAAGCTCATTAGGTCGCTCCGGCTCCCCTCAGCATCACATCTACGCATCCAATCAACGTTTTCAAATCGAAGCAGAAGATCCATGCTAAACAAAGCTAAAATCCATAATCTGTCAACCCCAGACGGTGGAATCAAACGGGAAATGGGGGAGAAGCAATTAAATTCCACGTGACAATGGCGCCGAAAACAGAGACCAGAGAAAAAATGCTTTCAGTGACTTGCCTCTTTCTGCAACTGCCCTCTGGAATCAAATCAAAACGAAATGGTGATGAAACAAAAATGCCTTTTTTTAAATTGAAAGGTAACGCCCGAAGCTTTCCGCCAATGTTAAAGAAGTACAATGTTAGTTCAAGCAACAAGAATCAGCTTAAAATATAAAATATTATTTAAAGAAAAAAAATATATTATGTACATCCCATGCATTGTGTCCGTTGTCTGAACTATTGCTTCCGAACTCACTCCGGGCACAATATTTTCTCGCCTTTAATGGGTGTTTAAAGATTCAATATGAATCAAAGGTAAATTTCAGATCTTAAACTTGAAATTTCATAAATTCATAAAATTTATGTTTTTTCATGTTTGGCTAGATTTAATAAATTTAAGGTATAAATCTTATTAAAAGACAGCTGCCAAACACATTATGAAACAAATTGCTCAATTATCATATATTTACATACAACAACAATAAAGCCTTAATCCCACTACGTGCGGTCAGCTATGATACATCTAAAATATATCGTGTTTTTAGACATATTTTTATATATATTTTTGAGATATTGTGTTTTAATTGAAGGTATTTTTATGTTTTTCTTTCAGGTATAAGTAAAAAGGTGAAAAATGCTTAAAAGAGTGAAAATGTATCAAATTTGGAGCAAAAAAGTGAAAATTGTGCTAAAGTGTTTTTGGCGCCTAAGCGCTAGAGGCCACGTGCTTAAGCGTCAGAGGCAGTTATTTGACAATTTTCTTTATTTGACTGAATTTTGAAGAGGTATTTGAGACACTTATTGGCTTAAGATGATGGTTATGACCACTAAGAACGAAAATATTATTAAAAGACTTGTGAAAGGAGATATCCTTTAGATGATTCATCGAATGTAGACACATTTTGAAGAGTTTCAAAGACACATTTTGAAGATTTATAGAAGAAGGAAGTTGAGACATTTGAAAGGAGTGCTTGAAATTTCTGAAAAGAGTTGGAAGAGGAACACAAAAAATTTACTTTATCATTTTTGTTTTTAGTTTTATTTTGAGAGTTTAGAGTGTTTTAAAAGAGAAGAGATTTAAAGGAACTTCAAGAGTTTGGTGAAGGATTTAAGATAAGTTTTATCTTTTATTTTGAACTACTTTTGGTTTTAATTAAGACATCTTGTTGGTTTGACAATGATTTCTATTTTTAAACTAAAGTGTGGTTTTTTTTTCTCCATGGATTTTGAGTAGTTTTCTTTATCTTTCTGCTTAAAATGATAAGTAATTAAAGTGTTGGATGGAAGTTGTGGAGAGTATTGATCTTTAATGTTGGAAGAAGTTGTGATGATTCAATTCCTTGTACTTCATTTACTTCTTGATTTGGCCTATCTAAATGTTAAATTTTTTTTTAAGAACATGTAAGAACCGGGTTGGTATTGTCTCAATCAACAATTGGAGAGTTAGAGGACTTTAAAGTGACAGGTTAAAGCCCCCAACTTGGTTTATTGTTTTAGTTTCTGATACAAGATGTTAGTCCCCAGGTGGAGGGAATCGAGGGAACTCTAGAGTGAGAGCTGATATCTTCCCTGTCTAGCCGGTCTTCAGAACTATTCAAAATTTAAATTAGTCAATATTCTTTATAGCAATTCTAGTAAGGGTAAAAAATATAAGTGTTCCTATTTGGCACAACATAATTCTCATACTTCCACAACAAAATTCCTATACTTATTACTGATTCATGATTAGGAGAAAGATATTTTTCAAATTCAATGCTTTTCTTTTACATAAACTCAAGTTATCTTTTTAAATTGTTATTGTTCTGTCAAAATATCAAAAATACCAAAAAGATTTGAATTTTAATACTGCAAAAATATTTTTAGTTTAAGTAATTGTCTTTTTAAAATAGAAATTTTGTTGTCAATAGTGCATATTGTGTATTTCCCTATGGGTTCGATATTCAGGTCTTAATCAAAAAGTCATATATTAATTAATAATAATATGTATACTTGCATAGTATCTCAATATAAATATAAATTAAATAGTTAAATTCTTATTTTTTGTAAGGATCAAGTTTTTGGTTATGTTGCAAAGTAAGAAAACATAAGTGAAAAATATCATCAAATACATTGTTATACTGTTGCATATAAACAATTTCGGGATCAAGTTTTAGGCGCTGTTGCCGGGGAAAATAAAAATTAATTTATTTAAAAGCAAAATTCTATTTTTAGAATATCTTATTTAAACTTTAACAATTATTGTACTTTATTTTGTGTGTTTTATTTTTTTTTATTTTTTGTTAGTGTATGTGTAGTTCAGGTTCCGAAGGACTAGTACTCTATGATTTTGAATTAGAAAGAACTATTAAGAAAATCAGAAAAACCAAAAAAATAAAAACCAAAAAAATATCTAAAAAAGTTATAGAAATGGTAAACCAAAACAATCAAAATGTTGAAATTCATCAAGAGTTTAGAGCTTTAAATCAAA